TGAGTAACTCCTGCACACACCGACCATATTATGCCTGTGTTGTAAATGCTTCCCACCTTATTCCAAGCAGTTTTTACTATAAAAAGTTTTACTGATAAAAGTAATATAATCACATTAGAGAAAATACAGGACAATACATGAAACAGAAAAAAGGTGCATGTATGTGTGTATACACATATATATACAGTATGTACATCTCACAATATCATCATCCTCACAAAGTTACTGGCATCATTTCCTTGTATTTCCTTCTAAAAATGTTTTTCATATGCATATATTTTTACATGGCTCTAATAAGAGTGAATGTATGATGTTGTAGCTACCTGCCCTTTAAAAGCAAAGCCAACATTATATGATATGCATTTTTTCTTGTTTATGCAGTCATCTTAACCACCATTTTCTTCTAAAGGTGTTTTTGTTTTGTTTTGTTTTTTTGTTAATGTAGGTACTGGGGATTGAACCCAGGACCTCGTGCATGCTAGGCATGCACACTACCACTGAGCTATGCCCTCCCCACCACCACTGTTTTTAATAGTTACTTAACGGTGCATCAAAGGGATATGTTGCAGTATACAACCTAACTGTTCTGCTGTTGCTAGATATTTAAGTCTCCCTTCCTCCCTTGTTTTGGGATACTATAAGAGAGAAATTACCATTTTCATATAAACAGCTTTTTCATATTTTGGACTGGATTATTTCCTTAGAATAAATTACCAAGAGCAATAGATGTTAGGAATTAAGATCTTTCTTCTTTCAGTTCAAATTTGGTGGGAGGAAACTGTATACATGTATATATAATGTTTCAATTTCTCTTCCTCTAATTATTAGTGATGCTAAATATTCATGTTTGTTTATCATTTGTTTCCTCTTTAGTGACTTGTCTGCTCATGTCTTTTGCCCATTTGTCTGAACATTAGTGTTTTAAAAAATAAATTAGAATAGTTAAAGACTTTAAACCTTTGTTAACATTTGCTGTAACTTTTTTTGTTGGCCTCTTTATTTTGGTAAAAATTCAGCTGCAAAAGTAAAAAAAAAAAAACACCTCATTACAGACATCTTGAAAACTAAAGAAACACTTTTTAAAAAATCATTAATTCTGCTACCCTAACATAACCCCTATTACCATTCCCACTAATTTTTTAAGAATTATGCATGTGTTTTACAAAGTTGTAACTGCAGTGTGCATTCAATTTTAAAACCTGTTTTATTATTAACCCATAAGTATTTTTATGAAATGCTGTGTAGTCTTCTAATCATCATTTAAAGTAATTGCATAATTTTCCATGGAATGGATTCACCATTTCCTTATTGCTAGACACTCAAGTTATTTCTAATTTTTTGTTGTTGTTTTATAAATAACACTGATAAATACCTTCAAGCAAATAGGTTTTTTCCCCATATTTTGAATTGTTTCCTTAGGAAACAAAATTGGAGAATAGATAAACAAGATTACACTGTATAGCACAGGGAAATATACACAAAATGTTATGATAACTCAGAAAGAAAAAATGTGACAATGAGTGTGTATATGTCCGTGAATGACTGAAAAATTGTGCTGAACACTGGAACTTGACACAACATTGTAAAATGATTATAAATCAATAAAAAATGTTAAAAAAGAAAAGGAAACATTCTTAGGAGTAGGATTACTAGATAAAAGGGCATTAATACATGCTGGCTACCAAACTGTTTTCTTAAGGGGTTAAGCCAAACCACACTATTATTAGCAAACCGAGTACCATTTTTTTCCTATTCTGTTAAATATAGGCTTAAAACAAGGCTACCTAGTTGTTTTAATTTGCATTTCTTTGATTAGTAGTGATGAACACTGTCCCATGTTTTACAGTTGTAATTAAAACTCCTTTGTAAATTGCCTATTCATGTTCTTTGCCCATATTTCTTCTTATACATCATATTGTATGAATGCCTTAGAGAATGTAAATCTGTCACATTTAGTCACATGTATGTCAAATAGGCCTTTTCAGTCTGTGTTTAGATTTTATTTTTGAAATTGTCACAAAACTTTTAAGTTACTTTTAAAATTTTAGATAGTTAATATGTTGCTCCTTTCCTTTGTGAAGTTTTTTCTATTCCTTCCTAAGCTTAGAAAACTAGTCTGCTTTAGAAGCCTGATAAATATTCATTCATTCTAGTTTTTTTTCCTAATTTGCTTTTTTAAATTTAACTCTTCAATCTAGCTGCCACTTATTTTAGTTTATTACAGGAGATGAGGGTATAAATGCTACAAGCTGTCACAACATCATTTACTGAACAATACTTTCCATTTACTTGCAACACATCCTTTATAATATACTGAATTCTTATATGTAACAGTCTCTTTTGGGAGTGTACTGTAACATCATCTGTTTAATCTACCAGTGGTACCAGTGTTTTCATTACTCTAGCTTTATATGTTTAATATCTAATAACGTTAGTCTCTCATTACTCTTCTTTGCAGAATTTTCTTTGAAAGTCACTTCTTTAGCTTTCAAATACAATTATTTGCTGTCTTACCTCTAAGAGCTGAATTTCCTGAGGGCAGAATTGGTTTACTTCCTTAGAAGAGATTGCTAAGAATAATATTACTGATTCAATAGGCACCAGTGTTTTCCCCACTCTTAAGATTTATTACCAAAGTTTTCAAAAAGAGTGTGCCAGCACCTGGATATTTTGAAATAAAGATTTTTTTTCCTCAAAATTAGGAGGGAGAAAATGTACCATGCTTCAATTTCTGTATCTTTGCTTATTAGTGATGATACACATATGTTTGACACCATATAGGTGCATAATCAGTGCATGTTGAATGAATAAATGGCATGGATGAATCTGTACATGCATTTGGGGATGGGGAAGTTTAAACAAATATTGCGGTTAGAATAGATAAATGCTAGCTAGAATGCCTGGTGTCCATCTGCAGAGAGGTCCTAGAGGCACCAAGAACCCCTGGAATTTGGATCTGAATTGGGACAATCCCTAGAGACTTGGTAATTCATAGTCACCACAGGCATGTCTGTTTCCAAGTGGGATCAGCTGAAAGCTGTCTGGAACAGTTAAGACAGATGGGCATGTGGGTATGCCCACACCTACATGCTGCCCAGAAGCAGCCATAATTGGCTAGGAATAGAGTGTACTTCCTTTGGCAGCAAAACAGTGATTAGAAGTGACAGGTACCTGGGTAGTCCACTGGAAGCTTACCAGGCCCTAGCAGGCCTAAAGCAGTGAATTCAAATGCATAAGAGCCTCCTGGGACACATGAAGAAACTAGATCTGACTTATAGGACCAGGCATTTCCCATAAAACCACACTACTTTTTTTAGGGGGGAGGTAATTAACTTTATTTATTCTTGGGGAAGGTACTGGGGATTGAACCCAGGACCTCATGCATGATAAGCACATGCTCTGCCATTGAGTTGTACCCCTCCCCACAAAACCAGACTACTTTTCCTCTCAATTTGCTAAGCATGAGAAGGCATACAAGTCCTTGGTTCAGAAAATCTTGGTTTTATCCCTTTTATCTGTAGCTTGAAGGAAATAGGGTCATTTTTTTCTCCTAGAGATCACTGTCTTCATTTTGATTTTTTTTAACTGAAGTATAGTCAGTTTACAATGTTGTGTTAACTTCTGGTGTACAGCATAGTGATTCAGTTATATTTATATATATTCCTTTTCATATTCATTTTCATTATAGGCTATTATAAGGTATTGAATATAGTTCCCTGTGCTAGACAGTAGGACCTTGTTGTTTATCTCTTTTACATATAGTAGCTAGTATCTGCATTGATTTAGAATTTTTTAATAGAGCAAAAACTAACAAAAGACAGGTTGTTTCTCTGTGCTTTTAAGACCACATAAAACTCATTAATAAACGCTGGTTCTCTCTGGTCCATCACCTCAGTAGTAAATTCTAGTAGTAAACTTACTCAAAGACTTCCTTGGTCATGAAATCTGTCGATTGGATGAAAAGAATTCCATGTTATTATCTTAACCTGCATACACTGAAATTGTGCTCAAGGTTTTATTTGGAAAAATAAGGTGCTGCTATCTCTAGACTCAAGACCACTGGAGTATCAAGGTCATGGCAGATAGTATGAACAATTGGCATATTTCACTCAAACAGCACATTGGTAAATTCAGTTTTTAAAATCTCCTCCAACATGTATTAAGTACTACAGATATATTATACAAGATACAAAATGCTGAACAAGGCCCAGAAGTCCTTGTCAGACACAGAGTACTGCTGTTTGAAATGTTAACATGAAACTCCAAAAGGACTTTCCCTGTAACTCCAAGTAGCACCCAACATATGTTTTACAAGCCCTTTCTCCTTAGAGTAACACCTAACCCTTTGCTGCCACTTTGCTTAGAGATGGCAATAGAAGCCTCCTTTTGATTCTTAAGCCTTTTATTTATATCTATTCTCATCAGTTCGCCACCTACTCAAGAATCTGTTTCACTCCTTTCAAGAACTAGTTCTAAAATTCACCTCTTCCAAGACTTCCATGGTTAATTTCTCCCTATTGCTAAATCTCTTCAGCTCTTATATATATTCAGTTGGTACCAAAACTGATGTTGCTCCCTAATTATCCTAGTTTTGTTAATGTTTCTAGAATGTTAGTTCCTTGAAGACAGGGGAATTTCCAGAAAGCTTAAAAGGAATTTAGAGATTGCCTAAGTATCTAGGTTGATAACTTTTGCCTTGTCCATTTTCCTGATGAAGAAACTAAGACTAAGAGGTTAATCTGTCCAAGTCAGTAAGCCAATGTAGAAAAACTAGGCATACAGCCCAGGTGTCCTGACTTCCAATGGTGCACTTTCCACTATATTATGTCATCTTCTTCTCTTTTATTTGTATCTCTTCAGAATGTCTAATAAAGTGCCACACACACACATACACACATGCACACATCTCAATAAATGCCAATACAATAAACATACATGTTTACATAAATGAGAAACTGACTCAAGGAAAGAGGCAGAAAGCAGAAAGGTCATTTTCTTACTTCTTTGCATGATGCCACCCTCCGGACCAGTTGATTGCTACTTTGCACACTCCATCAATCAGGCACTGGGCAGCTGTGATTGTAGCCCCTCCTACAGCTGCTGCGTAGTCAAATATCCCTTCGGTGGCTGGGCAGTCATAACCTTCAGGCAAACATCAGAAGAGCTTGTTAAAAGATAAATTGGAAAAAGAAGGGTGTGATGTGATGATTTATAATAAGAAACATACAGTTAACCACTGAACAGCATGCGTTTGAACTGCACAGGCCCACTTATATGTGGATTTTTTTCAGTAGTAAACATACTACAGCACTACACCATCAGTAGTTGGTTGAATCTGTGGATGGGGAACTGTAGATACTGAGGGCCAATCACAAATTATCCTAAGAGTTTCAACTGCACAGAGGGTCAGTGCCCCTAACCCATGCTTTGCCAACTGTATGTTTGGTCTTATTCCCAGTTTCCAGCACAGAGCTCCTAATATTCTTGGAATTCCTAAATGATGAGTTATAAAGGTGTCTTGGTTATATTAATGAGGTGACTTGTGGACCACACTTAACGATGGGGGCTGGTTGCCAGTAGAACCAGCCATATGAGGGTTAGAACTATCCCTTAACCTCCTGTGCACAGGAAGAGGAACTGGAGATTGAGTTTGTAAGAAGTTAATAAATAGAAACCTATATTAAATAGGGCCAAGAGAGCAGAAGGGGGAGCTCTCACACCCTGAACCAATAGCCAAGTCCAACATGAAGACAGACTCTTCTTTCCTGGCAAGGACTCAGTCAATGAAAAGCCACGGACTCTTTTTTTTTTTTTTTAACTAGAGCCCTCCCAACTTCCTTTCCCCCCTCTATAAAAGTGTTTTCCTCGCCTTGCCATGTGGGGACTTGAACATGGCTTGCCATGATCACAGATCCCAAATTGCAATTCTCTGCTCATACCGAATAAACCCATTTTTCCTGGAGAAATATCTGAGTCTATTTGTTTTAGGCCATCAAGTTTAATCGCCAACTGGCCAATGACTTAATCAATCATGCCTATGTAATGAAGCTGCCACAAAAACCCCAAAGTAGAGGGTTTGGAGAGCTTCAGGGTTGGTGAAAACGTAGAGATTTGGGGAGGGTGGCACACCTGGAAAGGACGTGGAAGCTCCATGCCCTTTCCCCATACCTGGCCTTATGCATCTCTTCCATCTGGCTGTTCTGGAGTTATATCCTTTGATGATTAATTGGCAATCTAGTGAGTGTATGGATTTCCTGGGTTCTGTGAGCTGCTCTAGCAAATTAATCAAATCCAAGGAAGGAGTCATAGGAATTTCTGATTTATAGTGAGTTGGTCAAAAGTACAGGTAACAGGCTGGACTTGTGATTGGCATCCAGAGTTGGAAAGGATTGTTGGAATCTTCAATTTTCAGCCTATCGGTCAGAGCTTGCAGTTGGCATCTGATATGGAGAGCTGTCTTGTGGGACTGAGCACTTTACCCGTGGAATCTGAGGCTATCTCCAGGTAGATAGTATCAGAACTAAGTTGACTTGTAGGACACTTGGTGTCCCAAGCACTGTTTGGTGGTACAGGGGGAAATTTCTTCCTCTACACATTAGAAGTGGGTCCAGGACCCTATTAAGGAGGAACAAATCGAGGTATTACAACATATCCCACCAAAAAGCTACTGTGCTAACATCAGCTCCAAATGAGAGATAAACATCTTCAATGATGGGGAAGGGATTATTTTAGTGTTAGAGCTAGAAAGGCTAAACCTTCAAGATTTAACTAGTTACATGTTACAGATGGAGAAACTGAGGACTAAGAGGTGATATGTCTTCTCTACGATAATACAGAGCCAAGCCTGGGACCCAGGTCTCTTAATACCCCATTCCCACCCCTCAACCTCCAGTCCAGTGTTCTTCCACTAAATCATGCTGTTTCCTTAGACTATCTTACTGGCCACTTAGGGTTTTTTTTTTTAAATGCAGCTGTTTAATGACAGAAAAAGTATAAAACTTAGCCAGAACATAAAACTGTACTCAAGTTAAAATATAAGGTCACAGGACAGTTAAATCAGTGTACATACCACCAGATCCAATCTGGGCACTGCTACTGGGGCCTAAGCAACTGAAAAGTTTTCCTCCAACTGATCTATCATTCAGTTTTGCTCAACTCACATGGTTTGCTTGTTAAGGGAGTGTGGTTAAACTAAGAGATTAATATTGTGGGTAACACAGTAGCTCTTAATTTAAGAGTATTAAAGACCATTACACAAGTTATAAAAGATTAACAGCAAGGTCCTACTGTCTAGTACAGGGGACTATATTCAATATCTATTAATAGCCTATAATGAAAAAGAATATGAAAAGGAATAGATAGAGACATAAATGTATGACTGAATCACTATGCTGTATACCAGAAACTAATACAACATTGTAAACCGAGTATACCTCAGTTAAAAAAAATTAAAAAGACATAAAAAACAAACTTATGGTTACCGGGGGGGAAAGGGGGTGGGGGTGGAAGGACAAATTGGGAGTTTGGGATCTGCAGAAACTAACTACTATATATAAAATAGATAAAGAACAAGGTCCTACTGTGTAGCACAGGGAACTATATTCAATATCTTGTAGTAACCTATAATGAAAAAGAATATGAAAAGGAATATATATATATATCTGAATCACCATGGTGTACACCAAAAACTAACACGATATTGTATACCAATTATACTTCAGTAGAAAATTTTTTAAAAAAATGATTAAGTAGTTATACTCTATAGATGGAGGTTGTCTATCTCTCATCGTTGCCCAGCAATGACTTTACCTAATCCATATTCTATGGAGTCTGGATGATCATCATCTCCTTCTTGGCTGACCTTCTGGAGATGCTGCAGATAGGCGTCTGTGTGGAAAGTGGCCATCTCCTCCATGGAGGCCACTTTGGGCTTAACTATCCTAATAATAACAGGGAACAAAGAGAGGTGAGTGAGTCAGATCCAGAGTATGCCAGAAGCTGGAAGCAGGAAGTAGAAGCCAGTGGTCTAAGCAGAAAATACAACAGCTTCAGGTTCCAGTGGGCTGAAGCAATAGACATGTTCTGTTCCTCCACATCACTACAGTCTTCACCTCCTCACATCTGCATCACTCCATTAAAAAGGGGTGGGGGTGGGGGAACATGTTAGGAATTTGAGATAAGTGGTAAGGACCTACTGTATAGTACAGGGAACTATATTCAATATCTTGTAAAAACCTATAATGAAAAAGAGTATGGAAAAGAATATATATACATACATGTATAATGAAATCACTTTGCTATACACCTGAAAGGTTGTAAATCAACTATACATCAATAGAGAATAAACTTTAAAAATTTGAAATAAAAAATAAAAAGGGGTGAGAGGATAGATATTTCCCTTGAGTTCATAAGTAGGTAAAAAAAATAAGTAATTATATTTAAGTTAAATAATCAGGTATTGGACAAACTTTACTCTGTGAGTTACAACTTCTATGACAAACCAGTAGGAAGAGGTATTTTCATTTGAATCAGTTCCTAACTGGGTATGCAATCCTTTCAACTATATTTGTACTTTAATGGGCAGCTATATTGTCATGAATTTTAAATTTGGAGTCAGAGAACTGGGCTCCTGTCCTAACTCTAAACTCATCAGCTCTAAAACCTCAGATAAGTTGGCTGGTCTGTAGTTCAGATTCCTGATCTGTGGAAGTGAGGAGATCTTACAGGACTTATGTGAAGACTAAATGATAACATATATAAAAATGTTCTGTGGACAACTATTATTATTATTAACATTAAAGGATAAAAAAAAAACAGGCAACCAAATATGTAAAAGTTTCTGCAGTTGGTCCCTCATATCTGCCTCTGAGAGGAAGGAGAGCAGGAAACAGGTTGCAACTGGGCTTCACTCAGAATCTCTCCACTAACTCCTCACAAGATGTGATAAATAGGAGTGACTGAGAGAATACAGGGAGCTAAGCTAATAAAAGGACATGCCACCTCTGACCTCTAGCTGCCTGGTCCTCACATCCTCTTCCTAACTCTGCCACTGCCACTACATCTCCAGCCCTCGCCATTCAAAAGATGGTCTAGCAGCAGCATCACTTGGGAGCATGTCAGAAAGGCAGAACTTCAGCCTCCACTCAGATGTACTGAACCAGAATTTGAATTTTACAGCTATCCCATTCCTGGGCATATATCTGGAGGGAACTCTAATTCAAAACAATACCTGCACCCCAATGTTCACAGCAGGACTACTTATCACAGCCAAGACATGGAAACAACCTAAATGCCCACTGACAGATGAATAGATAAAGAAGATGTGGTATATTTATACAATGGAATATTACTCAGCCATAAGAAAGAATAAAATAATGCCATTTGCAGCAACATGGATGGACCTGGTGATCATCATTCTAAATGAAGTAAGCCAGAAAGAGAGACAAAAATACCATATGATGTCACTTATGTGTGGAATCTAAAAAAAATGACACAAATGAATTTATTTACAAAACAAACAGACTCACAGACATAGAAAACACACTTATGGTTACCTGGGTGGGGGTAGAGGGATAAATTGGGAGTTCAGGATGTGCAGATACTAGCTACTATACATAGAATAGATAAATAACAATGTCCTACTGTATAGCACAGGGAACTATATTCAATATCTTGTAATAGCCTATAAAGAAAAAGAATATGAAAAGGAATATATATAAAATCTCTATCATCTATCTATCTATCTATCTATCTATCTATCTATCTATCTATCTCTTAATCACTATGCCGTACACCAGAAACTAACACAACATTGTAAACTGACTATACTTAAATTTAAAAAAAGAATTTGGATTGTAACAAGGTGATTCAGGTGCACATTCAAGTTGGAAGAGCAATGACCCAGGTCACAGGGAGGCAGTAGTGGGTTTTTCTGTTTGCTGAAAGGAACACGCCCACCAGTTTCTCATGAATTAAAATGGCTACACAGGCTACTCTATCAACAAGCAGGCCAGAAGAATCCTGTGGCTGAGCCTCAAAAATTAAATACCAGGGTGGGGGCGGGGGTGGGAGAAGGATATCGCTCAGTGATAGAATGCATGCTTAGTGTGCACAGGGTCCTGGGTTCAATCCCTAGTACTTCCATCAAATAAAATAAATCTAATTACCTCCCTCAAAAATTTAAGAAAAAAATTAAATACAGATAGCCTAGATCCAAGAAGCCTTGCTGCTTCTTCAAGAAGACATGTCTACACCCTCAGAGGTGACAACTCTGTCCATTAAAATAAAAATTGTACCATTTCTCGTACCATGTTTCCCAGCCCTAAGAGCTCCCTCTTCTAGTATTCTTCCTTTCACTTAACAAATCTTTACTGAAAGCCTCCCTACTTAAAAGCAAGGAAATGAGATAATTTTACTTTGCCTTGATTTTTGATTTGTTTTAAAGTAATTTTTTGAAATGTTAAATAACTTTAGTGGAAGGCATGTAGTTGCTATGTTTACCAAACATAACAGCTAAAAAAATGGCTGAAAAACATTCGTAAAGATGGTACTCAGTAAATGATTTTGTTAATAATAAGGATAGAGTTCGAAAGCCTATTATACTACCTTTTGGGAGAGAAACATATCATACTAGTCAACACAGACACGCACCTATTTGGCCAGAAAATGTCACAAATAATCCTACAAACGTCAGGGTTATAATGTTCACACTTACAATGACAAACAGCAAGTTCATTTCTTTTTTAAAAAGAATCAGTTAGCTCTGTGCTGAGTTCTGACCTTACAGGAGTTTTGCTTTGGTCTTGACTCCTTTCCAGACTCACTTGTTAAAGTTTAGTGGTGGTGATGGTGTGTCTTAAGGTCTTAAGTTGAACTCACACACTCAGATCAGGTTTAGGGGGGAAAAAAACCCCAAACCAGAAAACCTACCAGCTGAACATCTGTTTTTCTATCAGATAGATTTTAGTACCTAAATGTAGTCACCCCCAAATCGCTACAAAACACCTATTCCTACGATACTGTTCCTCTGCACAATAAAGTCCTATTTCTGATGGATCTGAACTGCTTCGTGCACTTTTTTTTAAGTTTTCTTAATTCAAGAGATTTCACTAGGTTACGGGCAGATTATGGACACTGTGAATCACACACACACAAAAAAAAAACTTAAAAAAAAAACCATTCTCTCCCTAATTAGCCCCACTGTGAAGCAGGAAGTTAAGCTATGAACACCTAGGTTCAGGACTCTGTTCAAGCACAACTTACCTCATTTGCTTATGCAGTGCATATGCTTCAATCAAGGAATGTACCATACTGGCCTAAAAACGTCCGTCAAAAAACAAAAAAAAAAAAAAGAAAGAAAGAAAGAAAGAAAGAAAGAAAGAAAGGAAGAAAGAAAGAAAAGAAAAAGAAAAAAAGGCAGAAAATAGTCTCTTAAATGTTTAATTCAGAGAAATCCCATCGACTTCATTATCCTGAAGAAAGAAAGTAACTTTTAACTCCCCTCCCTTTTTCTTAACAGTTACAAAGCACTTTAGACAATACAGATACAAAGTATCTAGATCGCTAAGGCGAAAGCTATCGGGCCTTATGGAGGTGATGGAACACTTTTCTCCTGCAGCTTCTTTCCCACTTCAGGGATCCCTGGCGGTAAAGTCACCATCCCCTCCGCGCCATCCCCTCCCCCGCACCTCCACCCCACCCCCACCTGTCCGTTGGACGCCCCGCTGCGCTCTCAGAAACTCTAAGGGAACACTACTTCCTCCATCACCTGGTACAGCCGCCCAAATTTCTGCTGGAGATTTCCCCCAGCCCAGTAACCTCTCCGCACCCTAATGCCCTCCCGTTCACCGGCCCCCACCCCACCCCCCAAACCCACGGTCTTTCATCCAAATCTCTCTTACCCGTTTGGGGACTTTGGCCAGAGAGTCACACATGCTAACATACTCGGGACTGTAAATGTAAACCGGGGGTAGTGACTGCCCACTGTCTGCCGGTTCCTCTGGCTCCTCCATCTTCAACTTACAGCCGTTCCGAAGCCACCGTCCGGATCCGGCTTTTTTCGGACTCAGCCCGGGCTCGGGTTCCTGCTCCTCTGATCGGCCGCAGTGGTGCTCCCTGGTCAACATTCCTTCCTATTCTCAAGATCGCCAGTGTCACTGTCCCAGCTCCCCATCCAGTTGAAGGAATGCATGGGCCTTCTCAGGCCAGAATCCCTTAATTTAGTGACCACAGTTCAAAACTGGGAGGTCGGCAGATATAAAAGCCCAAATAGCTGCCAATTAGGATCGATATTTTATGGCACAAATAAGCACGGTCAGAACTAACCATCCTTGTTGCCCTACGGGGCCATTTGAAATGAGGTCAGACCAGCTTCAGAGCATGCTGGGAGATGTAGTTTCAAGTGATTTGAGAGGCGGAAGAGCCTGAGCTAATTACCAAAATAGCCGCGAATTCGAATTTTAGCGCTAAAAAAAGAAAAAAGAAAAAAAAACAGCCTCAACTCTTAATGAATTGTCTCAATCTACAAATACACCCATATAAATATCTAAAGACAGACATAATGTGGCCACTAAGAGTCCAGCACCACCCAATCACATCATATGGGCTTTTATTTTTTTGATGGGGGAGCTAATTAGTGGCACAAACGGTTTGAGAAGTTAACAGTAAATTCCGCGCCGCAGCTTAGTCTACTGGTTTCCGTCATTAACTATCCATGTCCATGTAAGAGTTAACAATCGCAATAATTTACTCTGGCAAAGCTGATAGCACTCTCCCAAGAGGTTGGCTGGTGGTACTCTGTAAATTTCTTGGTATATTCCAATCAAGCAATGATGTCAAATTACTCCTTGAAAATTCTTGTGGAGTGAGGGTGTAAGCAGATACTTTCAGTGATGTTTGGAAACTACAGCTCCTCTTTCCTCTCTCCTTTTGCTTCTGCAGCTATACAAGGGCTAGGGAAATATTTTAGGTTTCACGTGAGGGTTCAGAATTACCATCAGTATTTCCAGGTTCCTGGGGGCCCCCATGATCTGATGCAAGCCGGCCAATGCCTAAGTCCCCAATTCTCAGATCAACTTCAACTGACTAACATCCCTCAGACAATCCAATATCCTTCCTGTCTTTAAAATCTAGCTTTAAAATAAAAACTCTTTAAACATTTATTGAGTATTGTGATATGCTTAATATATTATCTCATTCAATGGATGTATTATCTCATTTCATCCTTGCAACAGTTCTATAAAGGAGGTTGTAATACACTCATTTTACAGATGCAGTTTAGAGAGAGAAAACTGTTCAAAGTCACACATTTACAAGCAGAAAAGCAGGAATTTAAAACCAGGTCTGCCTGATACTGTTGCTTTTGAACATTCCCTTTGCTATGTAAACTTGATTCTTCCAGGATGACTTTGTGTTAAATATAGCTTTATTCACCTCTCCATTTAGTATCCCCACAATACTTAGTATTCTGGATTTGTTTTCCTCCTGCGATGTGTTCTTTAACTGGAATGTAAACTCTTATGCTTCTTTTATATCTTCCCATAGCAACTAGCTCAGAGTTCTGTAATCTTTCAATCATTAATCAAACTTTATCTGACATTAACTAAATGTACAGTATGGCTGAGGATTCAGTCCTCAAGATGAATTACAATCTGATCTCTGCTCTCAGGGAATTTGCATTCTTGTAGAGATGAAACAAATACACAAGAAACCATATGTAATGCAGTGTCAGATAATGAATGTGGAATGCTTAGATTACTTAATACATAAGCATTAAGTGCTTAATAACTGGTACTTAGTAAATGGCAACTAGGGTCCTTATTCAGTGGCATCTGAGAGGGTCTTAGCAGATGGACAGGATTTTACTTGGTGAAGATGGGAGCCAGGGGAGGGCAGGCTGACTAGAATCAACAGCATAAGCAAAACCAAAAAGGAGAACATTTCTAGTCTAGTTTAGCTGAAGTGGCTGGATCATGAGATCTTTTGAATACCAGGCCAAAGAGAATAGGCTTCATCCTCTGGGAAATGGGGGGATATTTAACAGACATCTTAAAATATTTCTATAGCAGGGGTGTGTAGGGAAGATTAGCTATTGAAAAGCTATAGGCAATGAGAGTGTTGGAATGGTCCAGATAGAAGTTATCATGGGGGAGGGTACAGCTCAGTGGGAGAGCACATGTTAGAATGCACCAGGTCCTGGGTTCAGTCCCCAGTACATCCATTAAATAAATAGTTAATTACCTCTCCCCATGCACAAAAAAGAAGTAATGGTGATTTAAACAAGGATAGGGGCAATGGAAAAAGGGAGAAACAATGCACAGGTTAGGTTCAATAAGACTTCCTTACTATTAGTACTTGGATATTGGTGGGAAGGGGAGATGGAGGAGAGTCATTGAAAACCTTTAAAGTCTGTGTGTCCATCGACAGATGACTAGATAAAGAAGATGTGGTATATATGTGTGTACACACACACACACACATATATATATGAATACTACTCAGCCATAAAAAAGAATAAAGTAATGCCATCTTCAGCAACATGGATAGACCTGGAGATTATCATTCTAAGTGAAGTAAACTAGAAAGAGAAGGAAAAATACCATATAATATCGCTTATATGTGGAATCTTAAAAAAAAGGACACAAATGAACTTTTCTACAAAACAGAAACAGACTCACAGACACAGAGAACAAATTTATGGTTAGCAGGGGTTTAAGGGGGTGGGAAAGGATAAGTCAGGAGTTCTAAATTTGCACCTCTTGGGGAGTGATGGAAATGTTAGCTATCTTGATTGTGGTGGTGGTTTCATAGGTGTATATATCTATCAAAATTCATAAAATTGTACATCTGAAATATGTCATTTACTGTATAGGAATTATACCACAATAAAGGTGTCTAAAAATAAAAAATAAATTAATCAAAAATAAAAAAGAATAAAAAATAAATTTTAAAAAGTCTGTGAAGAGAAGGCCAGTAATATCAATATAAGGAAGAGGGAAAAGAGGAGGAACTCATAGGGTAAGACAGGTACTTAGCCCAATTTTTCCCCCACATAAAGAAGAGATAGCCAAAGTCCGAAAAGTGACTGAGATCGCAAAGGGAACATAGCTTTCTCCACTGGGATGTCTAATCATCATGTCTAACTCAACATTTTCAAATCAAACTCCTGATTTTACCATCCAAACCCTTTCCACCCCTTCCCCATGTTTCACAGCTCATTAAAGATATTAATATCTATCCGGTTGCCTAAGCCAGAAAACTGGGGAGTTATTTGTATTCCCTCCTTTTCTCTCACCCACAAATCCAATCCATCAGCAATTTCCATTGGTTTCACCTCCGAGATGCGTCTTAAATACACCCACTTCTAAGCTTACACCGCCACCACCCTAGTCCTGGCACTGTCATCTCTCACGGGGACCTTCTGCAGTATATAACTGGTTTCTACTTCCACTCTTGCTGACTTACGATCTATTCTTTTTTGTAGCCACTGGAGTGAGCGTCTAAAAATTGTACATCAGATCATGTCACTTTTAAAAGCCTGCTCCACACCATGGTGAGAAACTTTGAGCTAGGAAGAAGAAAGTAATTTTGGGGAACATCTGTTTGTGGGAGTTAGGAGGAGAGGAAGATGTCAAAAAGGAGACACAAAAGGAATAGTTGGGTGAGAACTAGCACTGTTTCACATAAATCAAGGGATGAGAGGGTTACAAGAAGGGAGAGGGAGTAACAATGTCATGTATTGCAAAAGGGTCAAAAGCCTCCTTTGCCATTAGGGGTTCACTGGTGCTCTTTGAAAAACATGCCAAGTAGGGGAGGAAGCCAGATTGCAAGGGGTTAAAGAATGAAGCAACACTGTCAAGTGTAGCTTCCTTTTTGAAGAAATTTGACTGTGAAAGGAATTAGTATATCAACCTGGGGGGTGTCAGAGACCTGAATGTTTTCTTTAGGATAAGAGAGAAATGCACATGTTTACAGACAGAAGGGAAAGAGCCGATGAGGCTCTAGGGATCATGACAGGTTGGCAATATAAGGAGGAAATGGGACTTTCATGAATATGCAGTAGAAGGAAGAGGACAGGATATAGACTGACCAACTGAGACTCTAAAATCTGGACTCTTAATTATTTGACGTGAAAATGGATTGTTCTATGTGTCCTTTCAGTTCTAGCAACAGGTCACTTCTAGAACACTTCAACAGGGGGAGTATTGCTTCTAAACTGGAAACAGTATCCTCATTTGGCATACAACGTGGCAAGATGATCCAATTATGGAAAATGATAAATTGTTGCACAAGGATCTGAAATTGGCAGCATATTCCTGCAGCAAGTTCCACAGGGAGGCTGGACCCTTGTTCCTGATTAAGGCAGAGCACAAACCATGCCACAGGTCCCAACCTCAATTTTCCACATGCTCAATACTCATATGATCCTTAAGTTGGGAGGAAAACTTCCCAAAGACCAGATTTGCAGTCTGAGGACTTGAGATCAGAGGAAATAGGTAGAATCTTGACTTTCAAGTTTATTGGTGTGGTGACCCTGGCCAAGTACCTTGATTCACTTTCCACAGCCATTTTTTTTTAAACCTCAGCTAAAGGTAGCTTTGGAACCAGCAAGGTCAGGATGGGCTGTGCCACTTCTTTTGATGGTCTCCCCTGCCTTCACTTGCTGGCAGAAGCAGGCAGAAGGGAAAGCAAATACACAAAGAAGTCCTACTCCTCTGGCCAACTTCTTTGTGCATTTCATGATATGCCCTCTGATGCCACAACCGTACTGAACAAACTGACCCTTGTTTTCACACCAGTTCTTACTGTCTTTTCCTTGGAATGTCATTGCTGAGAGTGTGAACTCCAGAGTCAGACTGCATGGGCTCAGATCTCAGCTCTACCACTCACTGGCTGTTTGATCTTCGACAATTCGCTTACAATGCACAGTGCCTCAGTTCCCTTATATGTAAGATGGGGATGACAACAGTATCTATCTCACATGGTGACTGTGAAGATAGAATGGTCCATGCCAAGTGCCTGTGTAACAATGTTTGGCATTTGGTAAGTAATTCAATATTGGTTATTATTTGTTTTAAGAGCTATTATGCCAAATAGTCCTTAATTTGGGGGGAAGTCTCCCCCTCACTGTCATCCTCACCGGCATACTTGAATAATACTGCATGAGTACTGTTACTGATTTGAGACTAGGTCCTAGGCCTAGCCCTAAAAGAAATCAGACTTTTGCTAAATATAGGGTGACCATACTATCCAAACTTGGACAGTTTTGAGTGACAGAGAGTGCTATTAATAATTATGCCAGGACAACAGGCATAAACAGGGACTGTACTGGGCAAACCAAGACATAAGGTCACTCAAGTTTAATAGGAAATGAAGAGTCAATGTGGAAAACACTCTATTTATCTCCACTGCATTAGTACAGGTACTAGATATTTGTAAGTGCAAAAAGGGATGGTAGAATAAGTACAACTTTTGACTCATCAGCTGCATAAAATTCTCAGAATGTAGTAAAACCTAATTAAACAGGATGGGACTGTAGAAATGATTTATCTTTGCTGAATAAACCCTCTCTTGTTACACAAAAGGCTGATGAGTAATACTTAGGAGTATAAGCTGTTTTCAGGTACCCTCTAGTAGTGCAGAAGCACCATATGTACACAATTGTAATGCTGGGTAAAAATTAGTCTCATTCATTCACCAGACCAGCTCCCCTAAAGATGTTAATCAATAAGCTTGCTT